GGTTCATGGACCCACCGCCGCTGGCAAATTGCTTAAAATCTTTTTTCCCTTACCAAGACCCCGAAAAATGTACTTTCTGGCCCTAAAGGGGTATATTTTAGCGGGGAAGGCAGTGATTGCTGTTCCCTCCGATCCAGCTCCCTGTGCCGCAACGCTGCAGGCAGAGAGTCCCCGAGATACTCATCAACAAGTTACATAGACAAGTCCTTTTTTCCTTCTATTTCCTCCCCCTGGTTTCGTTTATCATATTTTATTTGGACCCGATTTACTCCTGATGCTGTCCCTTGCCAACTGCTGAGCCCTCCGGAGCTAGCTCAGTCAGCCTGGAAAAGAGGGGCTGTGTTTCCCCGATACCCACCCTGCTCTTAAGGCATGAAACGGACCAAAAATCCCAGTCTGAGGGTGTGTTTCCCAGCCAGCATTGCCAACCAGGGACTAAACTACAGATTCAAATAAATTAGAAGTTCTCTGAATGCTGTAAAAGTTTTAATACCGTTGTGGTGAATTAGAAAGTTTTTTAAGTATTCTAAAGTAAGCAAAAAAAAAGAAAAACCCAGGGAGGTGAATTTTCCCTAGTTTATTGGGCAGAGCTGTCATTTGGGCTTTCTGGCTCTTCCATGGATGTGTTTAGCAGATCCCATGAGTGTCCGTGCCTCAGTTTCCCCACCTGTTGCATGTGTTTTGTGAAGTGTTTTGCAATCAATGCAGGAAAAGGACTGTGCTGGAGCTAGGCAATGCAACAGAGGTATGAGCTTTTCTTGGTGAAAAATGAGAGTTGGTTCAGTGGAAAAGCTAACACAGGGCTCGGTTATTCTCCATGTTACTAAGGGAGAGAAGGTGCAAACTGTTTGGAGAAATTGTGGAGTGTTTCAAGGATACTAAAAATGTTCTTCCAACTTGGAGGAAAGTCGGCTAACCTGTCACTGATTTCTGTCCCAAACTGAAGTGAAAAGCCAAATTACTGGTGCTATTTTTGTAATCCAAAATTAAGGGGAAAAGTTTGTCGCAGAAATTACAAAAGTATTTATTTAGACATTTGAGATTGAGGGAACTATCTCACTGCTAATTCATTTGACAGAGGTTTGGGAGAAAATGTTTCTCTTATTAAAAAGAAAAAACCCAACATCCCTGGGAGTAGCTGTGATTGTAATATTTACTGGGAGAACTGTCAGCGTATTAAGGAGCTGGTTTTTCAGTAGTGCCGCGAAGCTGTCACTCTCACTGACTTTAGTTCAACTTGCAGCTCTGAAAACCATACCCTAAAAGCTGATATAGGTCGCAGCAAACCTCCCTGCCTCTGCCGCTTTGCCGGGAAGACTTTGCAATCCCAGTTCCTCTTCGTTGCAAAACCACCTGTTAAGATACAACCAGCTCTTGCTTTGGTAGCAGGGCTTTCGTTGACTCTGGCTAAAACTGGGATGAAAATGCGCATCCCAGCTCAAGAAGGGACCCCCTGAGCTTCCCAGCAATCAGTTCCTGTTGCTCCCATGCCCTTTAGGGGTGGCAGAAACCTGCTGGTGGCATATGGGTTCCCAGAGCTTATAGCTCTGAGGAGGGTTAATTCTCCAAATCCAGAGCTGGTAAGCTATTAGCTTTTTTTTTTTTCTTTTTTTTTTTCCTTAAGATGGCATTTTTTACTTCTGCTTTTTTTTGTTTGTTTGTTTGAGTCTCACTGTTGATGGCTCATAAAATGATGCGGAGAAAACATGAGCAGCAAAAGAAAAATTGTTATGCTTGGATTTCTTTTGTGAGGAATGAATAAACCCTACTTTGGTCCAGTACATGCACGAGTTCTGCGTATTGGAGTTATTACTGTCCTTTAATTTCTCGTCAGTATAAAAGCGATGGCAGTTTGGGGGCTGCGCTTCTCTCCCAGGCTGGCGGATTACGTCGGGCTCTCAGGGCTGGTTTGTGATTAAAGCCGGGGTGAAGGCTGCCTGCAGCTCCCCACAATTTCTTCTGTCTTGGTGGGCATCGTGGCCCCTCAGCACTGCTGCCCCTTCCCAAGGAAGCAGAAACCCTGCCGAGGCGGCCGGGAGGAGGTGAGTTTCTTTGCTTAGGCTGGATCAAGTGGAGCATCTGTGCTGGATTCAGCCCCCTCTTCTCAGGCAGCAGGTTGAGAGCATGAGAAGGGGCTTTTTCAGCTGGCACGTTGTTTGGTGATGGATCGTATTGTCACAGGATTTGGCAGAGATTAGAAATAGAAATTTTTTCAGGAAAGGACAAGACAAATTCAGGGACGACTGAGGATGGCTCTTCACTGCAGCAGTGTATGGGGGCAGCGTCCGGCTCAGGGAGCCGCGAGTCTCGGAGACTGGGAGGATGAGCTGGG